GTAAAAACTAGAGGTGTATTCAAAGTATTAAGTATTAGATTTTTTCGTGTACTCGATTTCTTTTCAGTCCTCGGAAATTTCCGTATGCATCAAGTATTCCGTATTTTAAATAATTTTGAACTATCTGATTCAAAAGTTGCGAAAATGTTGGTAACTTGTAAATTGTTAGTTCTAACTTTTCCTCTAGATTCGATAACTCCGTCAATTTTGTAAACAAACAATTTTGTGTCTGATTATGTTCCGAATGTAACATAACCTATTATCTGAAAAAGTTATTTTATTATGCATTGTAAAATAGCATCAAACATTTTAGTTTTATGCTGCTAATAAACGTAGTGATTTTTACTCATTGTGTAAAATTTTGAATTTTAAAAATCTGACATTAGATTCTTAATCAGCGACCTCAAAAACCCCCGGGTAACGATTTTTAGTCGAATACAATAAGTTTTTTCAAAAGTTGTCCTCCATATTGGGTCCGCCATTTTGAATTTTGAAAAACTGACATTGGATTCTTAATCAGCAACCCCGAAAACCCCCGGGTAACGATTTTTAGACGAATACGATAAGTTTTTTCAAAAGTTGTCCGCCATATTGGGTCCGACATTTTGAATTTTGAAAAACTGACATTGGATTCTTAATCAGCAACCCCGTAAACCCCCGAGTAACCAATTTTATAAAAATCCATTCATTAATTTTTATGTTGATGTGAATTTTCTTGACACGATTTTAATTCTCTGGATAAATTGTTTATAAATAACCATAACTTTTGTAAATTTTAATATTTTGTCTGGCCACTTATGGATGTCTTTATTAGTACAGTCAGGTCCCCATACTGTTAGATTCCAAACTGTTATGTCCTCAGTAGTGTTATGTTTTTGCATAACCTCCAAATTCAGAAGTGTTAGGTGACGTCACCAATTTTCAGGGCCGTATTCTTAAGCCCAAAGAAAAGGGGGCATATACTTCTAGGCCAAAATTGAGGTTTATATATTTACGTTCCTGAAAGGTGCGCAGTAGGCATACTTTGAGCACATAACAGAGCTGAGTCTGGAGGAGTGGGAAATTTCTGGAAATGTAACAGTATGGGGACCCGACTGTACCATTAACTTGAAGTTAAAATACTTTTCAGACCTTAAATGAGAAAAAAATGTTGTGTCCAAATTTTCTTGATTTTCGTCCTTCGTTTGTAGAATCACCCATATGTGTCCATTTATTACATTTATTTTTTTTCGGGATTTTGTTAATTCGGTAAAAATGCATTCGGTAAAATGGTCGGGAACCCAAAATGTTTATTCCCGCGTGATGTTATTTGTGTCTTTTAATTGGAACACGCAGAAAAATTGTTGGATAGTATACAGTAAGAAAAGCTATCCGTCAGTCATAGGAAAGTATGGGAATCGCATAAGTCAGTCTCACTCCCACTTATGGGATATGACTGACGTGGTAGGTTTTCGTACTACAATTTTTATTAGATAGAAGAAAATAGGCTGTTTTATCTAACTAAAATTATACATGAAGAAACACTGTTGGCTTCAGTGATATTTTTAAATTTATATTTGTGATAATACATTATATCTTTTTTGTTGTAAGCAGTTTTCAACAAAACTTAACTTAATATTAACTCTATATCTCAACTTATTTACGAGTGAGATGACACGAGGGAAACCACTTTTAGGAAAATTTTTCCTGATTGGCCAAAATCGTTGTAAAGTTTTAGGACTCCATCTTATCTCTATGAGTTTTTTGATTTCATGAATTTAGAAGAATTAACATATATGTTAATATATAATAGATTGCGAGAGAGAAAGTCAATTTTGAAAGAACTAGTAAAATGCAAATATCCTTATTCATTGTTAGAGGTGGAAGGTTGTAAAACAAATTAGAGATGTATCAACGCAATTAATTTTTAAGAAGTTATTCTTCCACTTATTTTTGAAGTTTAACGGCATTATTTTTAAATGTATGAAATGGTATAATTATTTTTAATGTGGTGAAGGAGGGTTAAAAGTGACAATATATAAGGGTGATTCTTCTGAAAGTGACACTTTGTGATATTTTTTATTTCTCGACTAATTTTATAAAATCTACTCGATAATAATTGTTAACCATTTTCATAATAAAAATTTAGCACTTACTTATTATTAAAAAGAAAAAATTAAACAATTTTATTCTACTGAATTTATGCAATAGCTAAAATAATTTCATCTCCGAAGCCTTTTTAGCATGTCTCCACACAGAGAAAAGCGAGTGTTGTTTTTGATGCGGGTAAATTTTGGTAGGGTAATTTTAGTGAGGATAAATTTTCTATAATAGAAAATTTACCTTATTTTCGGTGTTAAAATAACACTTTCGAGCTAAAGTTTGATGCAGACACTTTTAACACCGAATTCAGTGTTAAAATAACACTCACTTTTTTCTGTGCAATAGGTTTTCTATAAGAAAACTAAATTTTTATGCTTTTTTTCAAACTCTTAGAATTTTTTAAATAATAGTGTCAGAAAGTACAATGTTTTTTCTATTATTATGTGCTTTTTAAAAATTCTTAGACCTCCGTTTATATATGATAAAAATGTTAAAACTTTGTCTTCAGTTTTAGGTTAAAATTACCTCACGATGATTAATGATATTTTTATACATTAAAACTAGGTATTCTAAACAAAATTTTAATGCACACTAAAATAAAGTTGAGTGTCTGACGTTTAATTTGCCCATATATTATTTATGAAAAGGAGGGGAATTATTGCTTTTATGAATAATCAAATTTTACTTATTGGCCCGAGTAAAAATTTAATTTCATCTCCGAAGCTTTACTTTTTATTAAATAATTGAGTATACGAGTAACTTTGATGAAATATTTTTGATGATAATATAAAATTACGGTGTGAAATTTGTAAATTTTACTATAAAATATATTTTAATTGTGCCCTAATGTGAATAAATGTGAAAAAAAATTTATTTTTCATTTCCGAAGCTTTCATCTCCGAAGCTTTTTCCTTGAAATGTGTTAGTTTTTCTTTTGTTTTTACACCTAGAGAAATGATTTATTTGAATTAAATAAAATTTATTTCAAACAAATAAAAAAGGATATTTGTCACAGAACCAACTAAACTTTTATTTAGCTCAAATAATATTTTTTATTTGAATTAATATATTTCGTTTAAATATCCATTTTTATTTAAATGAAAAAAATTTTATATTTTCTTTAAATATATTTTATATTTAGAACAAATAAAAAACACTTTTCATTTTAATAAATCCTGTAAGCATTCTAAAATATTAAAATTCACTTATAACCTTCAAATAAATTTAACAATCACAATCACTAATGGAACTTTTAATATTCATTAAAATAAATGTTTATTTTTATAAGAATATTTGTTAAATAAAGTCAGGTTTTTTTATTGTTAGTCATTTTACTTTACTTTTTCACTTCATATGTAAAAGTCCACTGTCACATTTTTCTCACAAAATCTCAAATAAGACACTAAAATGTAAATGAAATCACATACAAATCTGTTACTTTGTACTAATTAAAATTTTCACTTAAAAAGAAAAATTCTGTACTTAAATCAATTAAATTTGTTAACTATTCATGATGAATAAACCTCTTATAATTGTACGCGTTAAACTGTTAAAAGCAAAACATCTTATTGTTTTACTATAGCAATGCAATATGCGCAGGCGTCTACTTATAAGTCAAACAAACATTTATTTGAATCAAATATATTTTTTATTTGCTACAAATATACTATTTCATAAATTGCAAATATATTTCTTTATTTTAGATTAATTAGTGCATTTATTTGAAATAAATATTAGTTTATTTATTTTAAATAAAATATTTATTTGCAACAAATAAATTTTTCTTAAATATACACTTTTAGTTAAAATAAATAACTTTTTTCTCTGGGTGTAGTATTTACCTGCATTGATTTGAAAATATTAACCTAAATAACCATCAACTATAGATTTTTATTTTAATTAAACTGAATATATTTAGTATTAAAATATGCAAATTATTATTTTTTTAAACAGTGTAATTTTATTATGAATTATATTAGTGTGTATATTTAATGAAAAAAAATCACGAAACAAATAAAATTGATCAACTGGAGCAACAATTCTTACTCTTGAGTATGAAATAAAGTAAGTTCAATAAAAAAACCATATAATTTAAAAAAAAATAAGTTGAAAAATCGAATTTCAAAAGTGGCACTTTCAGAAGAATCACCCATAAACGAAATAAATAATGCATCTATCAAAATTAGATACACTATCCAACTGTTTAGAATCCAATAAAATTGTATGTATTATTCAATTAATGGAATCGCTCGGTTACTTTATAGGAACAACTGAACGGTACATGGTTCTTTTAGAGAGTGGTTATTTTTGTTTTATAATACATTTTTTGTATTATTATTATTTTTAATTTTCAATATAACTAATACTTCTATGATACTGTATCCAACTATTTTTCTGCGTGAAGAAATGATTTCTTTAATTCGAATAAAACTGATTCTTTTAGTATAGAAAAAAATTCCATTTTAATAGAATAATTGTAAATAAATTTGAAATTGAGGGTCTGGAACGGATAACAACCTGCTATGCATGGTTGAGAGGGACTATACCAGCCAGACAGTATAGTGAGCGCCTCTGGGCCTCTCACTGTTGTCTGACTGGTATAGTCCTTATCAACCATGCGAAGCAGGCAGTTATCCGTTCCAGTCCCTCAATTATAATTTAATTTTTCAAAAAAGATTTTACTACTGTAAAATTTTTTAAAAAAAATATAATTAAGAAATTCTATATACCTTATTATAAATACTTTTATATAGTAGTACTGATGTATAGAAAATCACTATAAATTATATGTAGACTAAAGGAAAGCTTCGATTTAGGAATTGACGGACAAAATGTTTTCTTGTCTAGAAATATATAATCGTATCCGTATTTATATAGATATTTATAAAAGTCTATACACGAATTGAAAAATTACTCACCAACGGAAACGCGAGAGGATTTTTCAAGTCCAGCAAGCACCCCCTCGACGTTGTCTTTGTCACAGATAAACCTCGGGGCTTGCAGGTGCGGGTTGATGTTGTTGATTTTGAACTTGATGCTGCTGTTGTGACGGTGGCTGATGATGACTATGATTGTGATTATGACTATGATGATTATGATTTTGTCGTACCCTCAAAAGTTCCCATCGCTGTTTATATAAATCACGCTCCTGTCGGATTTGGTCAATTTCCAGTTGCATTCGTTGCAATTTGTTCTGAAGATTTTGATTTGTTGTTTCTAAATCCTGGCGTTGTTGTTGCCGTTTACTGCGACAATTCTGTGCGTAACCCCTGTTCTTTAAAGTGCGTCTTTTCTGCTTTAAACGAACCACCTGATGGCAACAGAGTTTCTGCTTCATTAATTTTACATACTCTTTATTTTATGTAAAAATAGTTTTTATTAAAGGGGCAACCGTAGATGTTTTTCAAAAAAGAAATTTATCGAAATTTGTAGTTTAAATTCTGTACTTTTAGCTAATAAATTATTTTATTTAAAAATTTTAGTGGTTTCTTTCTTTCTATTTCATGAAAATGATCAATTTTTATACGCCATATAACTATGATTGCCCCCTAAAATATAATTTTGTTTTTCAATATTTAAGATAAATAAATGAATGTGATTAATTATTATTATTATTTTAATTAACATCATAATCATCATTAAGATTATCTGAAAGGTAAGATAGTAATAATAATTAAAGAAAAGAATAAAATTAATGAAAAATGAAAAAATCTAGGTACTCACCTCATCCCTTGGGTACCCCTGAAGACGTTTATTCAACTCACGAACGGAAAGCGACATGAGAACCTCGTCAGACATAAGCACGGAGGAGCCATTGCTGCCGCAATTGGAGTACGAGCTGCTGATGCCTTTTGGTTGTCCGTGGGACTGACCATTAGCACTGCATGAGCTTACCGAGCAAACACTTAACGGCCTTCCTGGTTGCATCGGCATTCCCTGCATACTATCATCCATCGATTGCATTACAACTCCACCCCCCGGTAACATTCCGCCCCCTGGACCAGGACCTCCACTACCATAATAATCCAAGTGACTGGGCATAGTGATGTAACCACCTAAAAATACATATCAAATCATTTTTATTTCAAATGTCTCAAACCTTATATAAATATTATAAACGAGCAGACTAGGTACGGATGGTACCTTTTGAAAATCGCATGTTTTCTTACGCTCCACAGTGGGGCAAAATGGCAAAATTTGGTTCAAATTGAGTTTTAGACCGCAATTGTGATCCAAATTAAATTAATTTATGATTTATTTAAATTAATGTTTATGCAAGCTAGCGAAAACTTTCTAGATGCGTAATAGAATTCTGCGAAATCAACAGCTGCGCAGTATGTTTTTATATTTGACAGATTTAAAGCTAAATGTGTATTATAATTAATACATATTATATGAAGTAAAATTTTTCCACAATAAAATTATTCATATAACACAGCCACACAAAAAATTCTTTTGGTTCCGATCTGGAGGTCTCACAAGGTGTACCTTATGTTTATTGGGTCGCTGAATCCGAATCCGAGGTACATTTAACCCCATCAGATCAGGGTTTTGACATAACCCCAAAAAACCAATATGGCGGAAACCTTTAGGAAAAATTTATCGGATTCCCTTGAAACTCGGGGGTTTTCGGTGTCGCTAATTACGAATTTGAAGTCAGTTTTCAAAAATTCAAAATTGTGGATCCAACATGGCGGACACTTTTTTGTAAAATTCATCGGATTCGCTTAAAACTCGCTACTCGGGGGTTTTCGGTGCTGCTGATTTTGAATTTGAAGTCAGTTTTCAAAAATTCTAAAGGACGGATCAATATGGCAGACACATTCTAAAAATAAATTCATATTTTTTTGAAACTTAGGATCTAAGAGTTTTTCTGGTCACTGATTACGAATACTATATCATATTCTAAAAATCTCACAACTCCAATAACATTTGACTTAAGGTAGTACGCTCGCGACAGTCACTCTCAAAAGTAAATTTTAATAAAATGCTATAGTATGGTGCAGTTACTGTAGCATATTTTTGCTTGGACTGTACTGAATACATAGTCAGCCCTATGTACAGACACACTCACACACAAGTATACTAGTCAGTTTAGAATATTATATTATATTATATCTTTTAACTGAAACGGTTAATATTGTTAAATCTTTTTGTTATAAATTTCTCAAACATTCATTTATAATATATTAGTTTTTTAAAACAATCTATAGAAAATTTTAGAAGTTATTAGAAGAAATGTGCCGTTTACATGCACTTTTCATAGGTTAACCATGTTAAATAACAAACTTTGAACTTAAATATCTTGTTTTAGAAACGGTCAATTTTTTTAATATTTTGCAAATACATAGATCTTGTTATTAACTACTCTGATTTCAAATCTCATGAAATTCTATAGAAAAGTGCTATCACGAGCGTACTACCTTAATATGTACACCGAAAAAACGTAAATCTGAATTTAAGAATATCATCTTGGCTCCTATTTAAGAATGTTGTATACTTAAATTAAGTATATATACTATTTTTAAAATAAGAATATATACTTAATATCAGAAATATATTTTAAGTATATATTCCTCTTAAAATTATTTTTCTAATATTAAGAATATATTCTTATTTTAAAAATAGTATATACTAAATTTAAGTATACAATATTTTTAAATAGGAGCCAAGATGGTATTCTTAAATTCAGATTTACATTTTTTCGGTGTAGACGTATATGACATCTTATTCGGATTCAGCGACCCTAAAAACCCCCCGACTAACAAGTTTTAAGCAAATCTGGTCAGTTTTTCAAAAAAGGGTCCGCCATATTGGATCCGTCATTTTTAATTTTTAAAAACTAACTTCAAATTCGTAGTCAGCGACTTCTATAATCCCTGAGTAATAAATTTTAAGCGAATCCGATGAATTTTTCCAAAAGGTGTCCGCCATATTGGATCTGCCATTTTGAATTTTTAAAAACTGACTTCCAATTCGTAATCAGCAATACCGAAAACCCCCGAGTAACGAGTTTCAAACGAATCCGATATATTTTTTTAAAAGGTGTCCGTCATATTGGTTTTTTGGGGTTATGTCAAAACTCTGATCTGATGGGGATAAATGGACCTCGGATTCGGATTAAGCGACCCAAAAAACATAAGGATAGGTACCTAGTGAGACCTCCAGATCAGAACCAAATTTTTTTTGTGTGGCTGTGTAATTAATTATTAAATCAATACCTAATTATTATTAAATAAAAAATATAATTAAGTTTTTCAAATAAACAATTCGAAATAAACTTCCATGATTTTGACCAATCAGGTGTATTCATAAAATAATAACGTTATAGGCTATTACCTGAAGTGACATTTTACTGACATTAAATGCATCTGCCATATTGGATCCGACATTTTGAATTTTTGAAAACTGACTTCAGATTCGCAATCAGCTACCTCAGAAACCCCCTATACTCAGTTATCTCTACTCGTGTTATCCTACTGTCCCTAAATATTTTTCTAAATCAATTCCTAAGGATTAAGTACCTACTACTCGAAGTACTAAATTACTGAACAATAGTGGTGTTACTTTAAAGTAAAAGTGTAAAATTTTTTATCCAAAATAAAATTACCTAAATATAGCATAGAGGCAAAAATGTAATATTACCATGATATTTAAATAACATTAGGTGCTACTTTGGTTAAAATAATTTATTATATTCCTTTATATTTCTTCTACTCGTTTAAAAAAGGAATGGCCACCGAACATGAAGAAAGAATGTGTCATTACAAGAATATCATTCTTGGAAAATAAAAATACTCGCTCGACTGTTTTCACAATTTTCACGATAAATAAATATTTACGCATTAAGCAATTAGGCGTGTGATCAATTTACAATAACCTCATTCATTTAAATACTAAACTCATTGAAGAGTTAACTTACAATGGTGCAAGAAAAGGCAAGATATGTATGGGGTGTATAATTATCACATAATAATTATTTTAAGAAATCGGTAGAAATATTTCGGCACGAATTTTGAACTTGACCAATCATAATAATAATAGCATAGTGATGTCTGATTAGACGATTTTAAAATTCAAATTGAAATATTTCTATCGACTATTTGTCCGGCGACATTTGCAATAAATTCAGTTAAATGGAAATTAGACGTTTTAAAAATTTTAGACAATTAAATTTCAAACAAAAGAAAATTCGCACAAATATGAAGATTCAGCGTTACGAATGGAAATTCAAATTTTTGATTAATTATAAAATTAAAAAATATAATATATTACAACCTATCAAAACTGAACAAAAAACAAAAAATGAAAATACGAAGATTATTATAGTTAATTTTATTCAAAAGTAAGTACAAAAACCAATTTTTGTTTGTTAAATTGTTAACACAAATTTTTGTTATTCTATAGATGGAAATTAATTTTAAATTTCTTCAAGAATAGTCAACAAGTTTTGTTAGCGTTTGGCCAGACATAACAAAAATATATTTAACATTACGCTTATGCGTAATTGTTTGATTTACCATATGATATAAGACATGTATGTGTTACGTACCAAGCCCGAAATTGTACAGACCGCGGTGTGTACAACGATTTTTGTACAGACCGCGATTGGTACAAGGCATTTTGTACAAAGCTGAAATTCCTGGGCTTGGTACAGGTATTTTTGTACTGAGCGAGCTCTGTACAACGCGTTTTGTACAATGTTGTGACATCTCGAATTACACAAAACATTTTTCTTTTTACATGCACACTTTTTAGTGGTGCATTTTGTAAAACAGGAGCATTTCACAAAGCCTTGTCCTCCTCTCATTGAAGCCTTATTATTTGCAGATCTTACAGAGATTGTAACATCTGGCACGTCCTCAATTATTAAAAAATGATTATCTGTTGGTGCTAACTGATTTCGGCTGAAGAGTTGAGCAATAACTCCATCCTTCGTTCCAACTTGATAGTAATTGTCATCAGTTACATTGATTATAACACCTATACATTGTCCGATTGCAGAATCGCTGGAGCGCCAAAGTTACAAAAGACATCAATCAAATTATAGCAAACTTCCGCAGCAGTTTTTGTTTTAAGAGGCTTTAGTATAGTATATTTTGTCAGATGGTCCTGATAATTGAAAATAAATTTGTATTCTCCGTCTTTGCTGGACTGCATATCGATAAGGTCAACTTGACCGCGTGCATAAGGTTGTTTACTTAAAATTGGCTTCACTACAACACCTTTTTTAGGATGTGCTCTCTTTTTAATGCACGTTTCACATCCACTTAAAAATAATAAAATCATTTGGCGAGTAATATTTGCGTATTTGTCTTTTAAATTATTATGCATTTTGTGCACACCACCATGTCCAGTAAAAGTATGTGCAGTTTTTAATAATTCAAAAATTTCACCGTTATGCACAAAATATTTAACACTTCCATTAACATTATTATTTAATGGAACTATTAGTTTTTTTTCGTTTACAATTGTTAGCACGTCATATTTTTTTAAACACCGATAATCACATGAATTTTTCTTGTCTTTATTTTTTGATTTAATCACTTTTTCAATAATTTTTCATTTCAATAGAAACCATGATTACTTTCAAATGAATAGAAATGTACCTTCGCGTAAGGCTTCTATAGTACTAAATTAGTTTTCAATTCACTATTAAAATATATCGTCATTCTCTAGTCATCATTGTCAATCAATATTCAATAATAAACACTGCGATTAATTTGGACAACATTGTACAAAACGCGTTGTACAGAGCTCGCTTAGTACAAAAATACCTGTACCAAGCCCAGGAATTTCAGCTTTGTATAAAATGCCTTGTACCAATCGCGGTCTGTACAAAAATCGTTGTACACACCGCGGTCTGTACAATTTCGGGCTTGGTACGTAACATATGTAAGTACATAAAAAAATTATGAAACATTAAGTTTTTAAATTTAAATAGGTATGCTGGGATGAAAATGTCACTACAGCTTTCTTTAATCAGACCACAAAAGTTTGTTCTTTAATCATATTTATTTTGAACCTATCTCAATATTTAATAAATTCACTATAT